ATGGTTTCTTTTATAAAAGATTTAAAACATATCCGTGGGGTATTTCGATGTGGTGTAATAGTTATCTGCCTCGTCTTGTTAGACCAATTACGACTGAGAAGTGTTCTAACAGGAAGTGTTATCTCCTGTTAATTCTCCTCTCCAAGTTCACCACTGCCTTAAGCGGGTATTGAACTCACACTCTTTCACTGGATCTAACCATTGTGTCATGTGTCCTTGAGGAAATCTGGGTATGAATTTCTGGGTATTATAAACCTAATGTCTCACCATCATTTTTTACCAGTGCTCATATTGCAATTTTTTGCTGTTATCATATATGTTTTTACCAGTGCTCATATTGCAATTTTTTGCTGTTATCATATATGTTTTTACCAGAGCTCATATTGCATTTTTTGTTATTATTATCGCTTTTCTCTGGCACTCCTTATTACTGGTTCCCATATTGTATTCATTTCTATGCTTGGTCGGCTCTCAGAGGGCAGTAATCTCCCTTTTCTCCCCATATGTGGTCAGCCACGCCTGATTTTTCCACTTCCACTCGTGTTACAGTTTTCTGGTGTTCTTGAAGCCTTACCTAGAGGGAGCGAACTGTCTCTCCTTTATATTTCTTTCCGCAGCTGCACGGGATAGCGTACACACAGTCTTTAGTCATGTTCTCCTCTATGGGGGGGTCTTACTCGGGAGAGATATCTGCGAAGTGTCATCAAGCTTTTGAAGGTTGTCCTCATGTTATATAGACCGCAGATCCTTTGTATTTTCTGTGATAACCCCTTCACATAAGGCAGGCAGACTGTTTTCTGAGTGTTGTTGTCCTCCTCTTGTACCCGCCTATCCCATTTTTGGGGGGCTGCTACCATGTACCCAGGGTAGTTGTTAGGTTGTAGGGTACTACTTCTACTGACCAATTCTTTATCTAATGTCCCTGGGTCGCCACTTATGACTTTTGATCGGTGTTGTAAGCAATGGACGATCCCTTGTTTTACGCTGTATGGACGGTGGGAGTTGAAATTGAGGTACTGTCCAATGAATGTCGATTTACGGTATACGGATGTCTTGAACCCATGCTCTATTCGAGATATGAGAACATGTAGGAATGGGAGTGTGTTGTTGTTCTCTTTCTGCATCCATTAGATCAATTACGACTGAGTATTGTTCGACCCTCAGTCCTCCATACTTGCAACCTTGTGTCACGCTTAAGCCAACCTTAGTAAATTGCTAAAACATATCGGTTTCCTGGCAGTTGTGAATTCAATTCCTGAGATGAAAAGCCACATTAATTAGTTCACTGGAAGAAACGAACAAGCGACACAAATATGAATATTGACGGTGAATAAGAGAGAACAACCACCCACCCCAAATAAAGAAAACAGAATGTGAACACTATCTCCTTGAAATCAATTTTCAATCAGGTTAGGAAATACGAATCCAGGCACCTGAAAATGGCTGGAGAGTAAAAAGGGCGAAAAGTTTGGGGCATACAAATCAAGATAAACATGGTGTTTCGAATAGGTCAAAATAGAAAATTTAAGCACTCTTTAAAGTTAGCTTTTGCAAGAATCACAACTAGCTGGTTGGTTGATTTTACTGACATATCTCAATCTCTATGGGTTATTTAATGCCGAAATTTAAATATTTTTAACATAGTTTTATGGCTTCAACTACAGATAAAATGTATTGTTGATCATTTTGCTATAAAATATATTGTTGGTAATTCTTCTATAAAATGTATGTTACGTTTAAAATGTATGGTAGGTATAAAATGTATGTTAGGTAGATATTAATATAAAATGTATTGTTGGTCATTTTGCTTTAAAATTGTATTGTTAGTAATTCTACTATAAATATGTATTGTTGGTAATATTTCTACATAAAATGAATTGCTGGTATTTTTACTATAAAAATGTATTTTGATACTTTCATAGTGTTTTCTTTTTGTTGTGGGGGGCACTATTTGCCCATAGTTGGGATCCTAACAGGTACTATCATCCCGGATAACAACTATGCAAGCATCGTTCATAACTAATATGTTATTTTGAATAAATCGATATCCAAATGCCGTAGACCAATGTTTCATTTGCTAGTCTAACTTATCAATAAGAAAACAATTTTGACTCGGTGTGCCATAATATTTGCTAATCCTTTCACCGCAAGCAAGGTAGTAAATCTACTGAGGTAGGATTTTTTAGGGATTATTGGACGGGGAAAAATGAGAAAAGGGAAAAATTAAAGAAAGAGAGAGAGAGAGAGAGAGAGAGAGAGAGAGAGATCAATAAAAAAACAGAAATTAAGGAAGCTGAGGATAACAATTGATATTACATTTAAATTTTTGGAGATCAAATTTGACTGGAAATTCAGATCTCGGAAGACAGTTCCACAAACGAGAAGTGCGAGAGAAGAAACTGTTAGCATAAAATTTACGGTTACTGTGCTTAAATACATAAAGTCTAGGGGCCGAATTGGAAAATTCATCAAAACAATTACCATGAAAATATTTATAGAAAACGGCGCTGGGGACATGCCTGAAGTCGAGATGTCAGATCAGGACAAATAATATTGCAGATACTTATTTGTAGTTTATCAAGAATATCTAAATATATAGCAGAAATACAAGATGTGACAATGATACCTAATGGACGGACAAACGGTAGAGACGCTTATTATTGCCTCAGATTGTATCTGTCTATATTTTTGAGATGAGATATTATGTACATTATTTACATTATTCGGACTATTGTCCTCATCTTTATCGCCATATTTATTACAACGTTTCGGCATTTCAATATCTGTCTATATTTCTGAGATGAGATATTATGTACACTATTTACATTAGTCGGACTACTGTCCTCATCTTTGTCGCCATATTTATTGCAACGTTTCGGCCGTTGTATGCTCCGGCCTTCCTTTATTTCGCTCACTGGGGAAGACTGTTCTAGTTCCACGTGCCATATTTAATGGATGTCAGTTATCTCCTGCTAATTTCCCTCTGAAAGTTCTCCACTGCCTTAACCGGGTATTGAAATCACATTCTTTGGGTCCTGTCACTAGATTTAACCAACGCCTTTATCCAATGTGCTGTGTCCTTGAGGAAATAACTGATAACAGAAGATAACTGATAACTGACATCCATTAAACATGTCACGTGGAACTAGAACAATATACCTGAGTGAGTGGAATAAAGGGTTCAGTTCGACATTCCAACCACCTGACGATGGCCTGAGCGTACAACGTCCGGAACGTTGTAATAAATATGGCGACAAAGATAAGCACATTATTCTGAATAATGTAAATAATATGCCTCAGATTGTTTAATGACTATCTAAAGAAACTTGGTTGATGGGCAAAGTTGAATAATCTTTTATTACAAGCCATTAATAGTGAATGTGATCGTCGATACTCATATAAATATATCCTAAAACTTTTACTAACATCGATTGATTAATGCTTATTATATTGTGAGAATATCAACTTTCAATCTGACACATGCAAAATTGTACTTGTGTCTTTTTTATCAATAGATATTTTTGAAGGACAATATTTGATAATCTTACGTGAATACGACTTAAGGGGTCAGGTATCAGGCATTGGAAGTGGAAATTATGTTGAGACAATCGTATAAATGGGAATGATATAATTACGTTGGAAATCAGCGTCTGAAATTTTCTAAGTGGGCTTAATGCTCAGTCCCTTGCAACAACAGAAAAACTTCAACCAACCAAACAATTATTTATAAATAATAAACCAATCGGAAATATATCATTTCCGGATTCTACACAAGTTACACGGGATCCGATTAAAAATTGTTTCTCAAGGCTACAATAATTACCTATTTCCAACTGTTGCCAGGTGTCAATGTTCAGTCGTAGCTAAAATTAAGTATTTCGAATGCTGATACTCAAACACGCTCTTCCCTATTTGTTGATTGGCGCAATACAGTCTTCCCTAAGATTTACATTATTTACTTTCGGACTAATATCTTCAACTTTGCTGTTTTTATCACACCATTTCATATATTGTGTTCTTCGGGTTTCTAATTGTCCAGTTTATCCAGAAATAAACGACGCTAAAATGTTCAAGATAACTCCCCATTCCAGAAAATAAGACAGAAATAGTTTTCCTCATCCAATATTCCCAAACCAGAACTTGGCGCCTACAGAGCCAAAATAATAGCACTTGGTGTTGAATAATTGCTAGTGTCATCTTATATTTCCTTATAAATTCGAGTACATTGCCATAATGTAATGCATAAAAAGCTAGCCTAATGGGCATTTACTGTTGTAGTGAGTTAGATGCATAGTGGGTTCCCCACATTTGTAGCCTTGTTTAGTAGATATCGATTCCGATACGATTCCTTTATTTTGGGAATATTCATATCGATCTCTATAAAACCTTGCCGAGTACTAAAGGCTAAATGGAGTGAGTTCAAATGTCAATATGGAAGATTGTGTTACGTCATTTTTACAAGATCGAAGGTACGTCTTTTTTTTTTAAAATATGCATGTGAAAACTTGGAATTTACCAGGGCTTGAATATTGAATTATATTACAACATAGCTTTATTTTTACACGTGGCTGAATGAAAGCTAAGCATGTAATCACTTGATATGATTTATAATTACGTATGATTATCTGGATTTAAACCTGAGAACGAATTTAAAAAATAAAACAGTTAGCTAAGTCCAGTTGTCAGCGGAAGCAGAAGACTTAAGAATAAAAGAGAAGAGAAGATTTTATTCGAATGTTGTTAGGTTTCCGTGTAGACTGATCTGGTTACATAAAATAAATTCTTTGCTCAGAGTGTAGAAGAAACTTCATCTTGTGCTCAAATTCAACTTCAATCCAAATTCCGAATAAAGTGAAAACTTTCAAACAAAATGGTACGAAATGTATTTCGACCGTCGCACCACTAAAATGAAGATCATTAGCAGATGAAGAATGCATGATTTTATTACATTTGTGTTACATTAAAGCGAATAATATTCTACTTGGTTGGGAAATATACAACTATCTCAACCCCGAGACAGGCAGAGAGGCAGGCAGGCAGAGAGGCAGACAGGCAGAGAGGCAGACATAAAGGCAGAGAGGCAGGCATAAAGGCAGAAAGGCAGGAAGAGAAGCACGGAGGCAGAGAGACAGGCAGAAAGGCAGGCAGAAAGAGAGGCGGGCAGGCGGAGAGGCAGGCAGGCAGAGAGGTAGGCAGGCAGAGAGGCAGGCATAAAGGCAGGCAGAGAGGCAGACAGAAAGGCAGACAGAAAGGCAGGCAAGCAGAGAGGCGTGCAGGCGGAGAGGCAGACAGAGAGGCAAGCAGAGAAGCAGGCAGACAGAGAGGCAGGCATAAAGACAGGCGGGCAGGCGGAGAGGCAGGCAGGCAGAGAGGTAGGCAGACAGAGAGGTAGGCAGAGAAGCACGGAGGCAGAGAGGCAGGCATAAAGGCAGGCAGACAGAGAGGCGGGTAGGCAGAGAAGCAGGCAGAAAGGCAGGCGTGCAGAAAGGCAGGCAGAAAGGCAGGCGGGCAGAGAGGTGGGCAGGAAAAAGGAAGGCATAAAGGCAGGCAGGCAGAGAGGCGAGCAGAGAAGCAGGCAAACAGAAAGGCAGGCATAAAGACTGGCGGGCAGAGATGCAGACAGGCAGAGAAGCAGGCAGGCAGAGAGGCAGGCAGAGAGGCAGGCTGGCAGAGTGGCAGGCAGAGAAGCAGGCATGCAGAGTGTCAGGCATAAAGGCAGGCAGACAGAGAGGCTGGGAGACAGAGAGAGAGAGAGAGAGCAGAGAAGCAGACAGGCAGAGACACACACAGAGAGAGAGAGAGAGAGAGAGAGAGAGAGAGGCAGAGAAGCAGGCAAGCAGAGAGGCAGGAAGGCAGAGAGGCAAGCATAAAGACAGGCAGGCAGGCAGAGAAGCGGGCAGAAAGCCAGGCAGGCAGAGAGACGAGCAAGCAGACAGGCAGAGAGGCAGAGAAGCAGGCATGCAGGCAGGCAGAGAAGCGGACAGAAAGCCAGGCAGGGAGATAGGCAGAGAAGCTGGCAGGCAGAGAGGCAGACAGAAAGGCAGACAGAAATGCTGGCAGGCAGAGAGGCAGACAGAAAGACAGACAGAAAGGCTGGCAGGCAGAGAGCCAGGCACAGAAGCAGACAGGCAGAGAGGCAGCCATAAAGACAGGCAGGCAGAGAGGTGGGCAGATAGGGAGGCAGATTGGCAGAGAAGCAGACAGGCAGAGAGGCAGGCATAAAGGCAGGCAGGCAGGCAGGCAGGCAGAGAGGCAGAGAGCAGACAGAGAAGCAGACACGCAGAGAGGCAGGCAGAGAGGCAGGCAGGCAGACAGAAAGGCAGACAGGCAGAGAAGCAGGCAGGCAGAGAGGCAGGCATGGAGAGAGGCAGGCAGAAAGGAAGGCAGTGAGTCAGACAGAGAAGCAGGCAGGCAGAGAGGCGTGCAGGCAGAGAGGCAGATAGGCAGAGAAGCAGGCAGGCAGAGAGGCAGGCAGAAAGGCAAGCAGGCAGAGAGGCGGGCAGGCAGAGTGACAGACAGAAAGGCAGGCGGAATGGCAGGCAGGCAGAGAGGCAGAGAAGCAGGCAGGCAGAAAGCCAGGCAGGCAGAGGGACGAGCAGACAGAGAGGCAGAGAAGCAGGCAGGCAGGCAGAGAAGCAGGCAGGTAGAGATGCAGGCAGAGAGGCAGAGAGGCAGGCAAGCATAAAATCAGGCAGGCAGAGAAGCAGGCAGAGAGGCAGGCAGGCAGAGAGGCAGGCAGGCAAAGAGGCAGGCAGGGAGAGAGGCAGACAGAAAGGCAAGCAGGCAGAGGGACGAGCAGGCAGACAGGCAGAGAAGCTGGCAGGCAGGCAGGCAGGCAGGCAGGCAGAGAAGCGGGCAGGTAGAGAGGCAGGCACAGAAGGCAGGCAGGCAGGCAGGGAGGCATAAAATCAGGAAGGCAGAGAGGCAGACAGAAAGGCAGGCAGGCAGAGTAGCAGGCAGAGTAGCAGGCTGAGATGCAGGCAGGCTGAGATGCAGGCAGAGAGGCAGGCGGGAAAGGCAGACAGGGGAGAGAGGCAGGCAGAAAGGCAGGCAGACAGGCAGTGAGGCAGGAAGTGAGGCAGACAGAGATGCAGCCAGAGAAGCAGGCAGGCAGAGAGGAAGGCAGAAAGGCAGGCAGGCAGGCAGGCAGAGAGGCGGACAGGCAGAGATGCAGAGGCATGCAGAGAGGTAGGCAGAGAGAGGCGGGCAGGCAGAGAGGCCGGCAGGCAGAGAGGCGGGCAGGCAGAGAGGCGGGCAGGCAGAGAGGCGGGCAGGCAGAGAGGCAGGCAGATAGTCAGGCGGAATGGCAGGCAGGCGGGCAGAGAGGCAAACAGAGAAGTAGGCAGGCAGAGGCAGGCAGAAATGCAGGCAGGCAGGCAGAGAGGCGGGCCGGCAGAGAGGCGGGCCGGCAGAGAGGCGGGCCGGCAGAGAGGCGGGCAGGCAGAGAGGCAGGACGGCAGAGAAGCAGGCAGACAGAGAGACAGGCTGGCAGAGAGGCAGAGAGGCAGGCAGGCAGGCAGAGAGGCGGACAGAGAGGCAGACAGGCAGAGAAGCAGGCAGGCAGAGAGGCAGGCAGTCAGAGAGGCCGAACGTCTCCAAAATGCGGTCATTTTCTCTATTTTTATTGATTATAAAATACAGCAGGCCGTTAAATAATACAACAGATTTCTAATGAGATCACGTGGAAACTGGCTATAAACGGTCCTGGTACTTAATATCAGAGTAACAATCCATTGTATTTCGCTAAAACTGAATATTTTCGAGGTGACAGCTATTTAATTTTTGTAAATATAATTGAAAGAATAAAGCTGCTGTAACAGATTTTCTAGAGAATTTCAGTTGTTCAACTCAAATAACACAGTTCTAGAATCTTCTCCGGTCATCAAGTCAACTATCCTAATTGATGTAGGTAAAAAGGGTCTCAATAATTCAAATCAATTTTTTTTAATTCAAGCGTCTTCAATATCCAGTGAGGCTTTCATTTCTATGACCATTAACAATTCAAAAGGAGAATCGCTTATGAACGCTAACCTCAACCTGACAACTGAATGCTTTTCCTACGGTTACTGACAATTGGACAATTCCATGTTGTTTGCCTTCGGTTTGTATCCTAGAACAAAGGTTACATTTTATGCAGTAGAAGAATCACGAACCTTTTATACCCAGAAGCAATATTAACCTAAGGGACTACATTATATTTGTCTTGGGCATGAGAATATTTTTCAGTTAAAGACCTTTTGATATGCGAATAGTTTAAATAATTCTTTTCAGTTGTGCTATTGTATAGAATAATTTTAACTCACGCAAACACACACACACACACATCTGTTATGACTGAACTTTATAGATGCAGATTTGGAAAGGTCTTTTCCGTCCGTTGCAGATTGAAGTCTGTGATGTCTGTACGGCATCCACTTCATGTGAGGGTTTAGAAGCCGGGCGTGGCCCGCACCTTGCGGGGCTACCTTTTTCTTCTTCTTCTCCTTTTGCCGTATAATTCTTCCGTGGCGTGGTGGGTGCCTGAAATTCCATGCTTTCGGATGCTTCCCTTTTCCCACATGATTTTAGTGGAATTCTTTAGGAAATCCGTGTACTTCTTAACTAGAGTCCACTATGAGATAGAGGTTAGATTCTTGAATAGGAAGATTCTTGGAATCTATCGTCGTTCATAGATACCACGTGACCTGTAGCATAGAGTTTCAACAATTATCACTTAAGAAGTAAAGAATCTCGAGATCTTAATGATGAAGTTGTACCAGTGCGCTTTTAAAATGGCGCGAAGGCAACAATGTAAACATTGTCGATCTAATCCGTTGAAAGCATAAGAAATACTTATATTTATAATTAGATTTCCATGGAATTTTCTTTTCTTAATATCCACTCATTATTGTTTACTGATATTTAATGTTGTATTCTTGCAACCAAAATACTATCAATTTATTTTCATATCTAACCATCCCTCCATCTCAGTATATTCACATCTATCTATTTATATATACCTGTTCACATCTATCAATCTGTTCATATCTATCTATCTATCTATCTATCTATCTATCTATCTATCTATCTATTTCATCTTGTTCAGTCTGTTTATATCTATCTATCTATCTATCTATCTATCTATCTATCTATCTATCTATCTATCTATCTATCCACATCTATATTTATATATGCCTGTTCACATCTCTCAATCTAAGTCTGTTCATATCTATCTATCTATCTATCTATCTATCTATCTATCTATCTATCTCAGTCTGTTCATATCTATCTATCTATCTATCTATCTATCTATCTATCTATCTATCTATCTCAGTCTGTTCATATCTATCTATCTATTAAAAGCATAAATGTGTGTGTGTGTGCGTTGAATTGCATACATATGTCCAAGAGGAAAGAAAAAAAGGCAAATGAGACAAGTAAAGAGAAATTTCATTTTCCTGCTAAACTATTAAAACTGCGGCTGCGAGCTTCGCCGTGCAGTAGTGTAAATCAATTTAGTTGTAATCAGCATTACTACAGCTGTGAGTTTGTTCCTCACTGGGTGTGTCTAAGTAAGTAAATAGTTCAAATACTATTACCTGCTTTTTAGAGCATTGCCAAGTCCTTTTATTTATACCCTGCATTATCTTTTAGATTTTACAAGTATTTAATTAATTTCTCTAGTATCATGATTAAGTTAAATAGAACTTTGGCATAAAATACAAAAGTTACTAATAAAACTCAAGTGTTATTAGTAAATATAACTTTTTATTAATTTCAGATATATTATGTTATTTGGTACCTTGTCTTATTTTTAACCAATCAGCTTTATCCAAAGTTTTAAAAAAATGTTTTTGTAGTTATCAAAATCACCAGGGTTTTTCGTAATGCGTTCAACTGCCGAATGTCTGTAGCATTCGAAGAAAAGTTACGAATGATAATTAATACGACGCTTTCGGTGGGAATCCACCCCGGGAGCTTCATTTCTGAGTCTTGAAATAGAATTGGACGTTGGCAGCACGTAGTTTGGAAGTTTTTTGGGTTTTTTTTTTTGCTATCAGAAAGGCGAACAAAATCATTTGGATTCTGTGAAAAATAAAAATTAAAAAAACAACCAAAAAAAAACAAAACAAAACCACTCGTGCTCTCCCAGTAGAATCTAAACAGTGTTTAATCAATTTCTCCCAGTAGGAATACTTTGAACAGAAGTCAATTTGTAAGGGAAATTTAAACCACCAATTCGCTATGAAGAAATTCACATTGAACCAATTCAGTGAGCAAAGATATGTCTTTTTCAATATTCTTTGATTTTGTACACTTGGCTTTCTTCTGGTTTTAAAACCACGGGGTCATAAAGACCATTTAAAAGATAATGGTATGTTAAACTCTATTATTTAGATTTTTAAATTCTAGATGTTATCATGACACAAGAAATGTACTATCAGGAAGTAGTTATCCATGACACTTCACGGTTTTCCGATCTCTAAATTGCCATATCTCAGTAAAGGTAATAAAGTAGTTTTCTGTTGTCTTCTTAATGGTTTTGAATTCAGAATTTAGGCATTCTCCTAGACTGGGTTCCAGGATGCTAAACCATTTTATTGGTAGCTGGGTTGCGAAAGAGATGAGTTAATGTAATTCCCAGAGGCATAGTGCGAAGTGTAAGCCACAAATCGGAATATGAACTCAGTTCGTCGATTCCATTTTCAGATTCGATTATCACTACACTATTTACACATTTCTTTTTTTCCCTGTAGTACGGACACTTCTTTGTTAAAAGCATTAAATTCATTTTTATATTTGGGCTCTAATCAATCTTAGGTATGTAGATATGTCTTCAGAGCTCGATTTTTAAACTAGAGAATGAGTATACAGTTAAAAACCGCCAACTTTTCTTTTTTAAATAATAAAAAAAAAATGAAATCGCTGTGAACTGTTGTAGATATCAGATATTTTAACTGTCTATAATGCCCTTAAGGTTTTAAGAATCGTTATAAATTGTCACAGAAAGTTTTAACTGTTGTTACAGGTTTGTTGCATCTCCAGTAATTTGTCAGAACCTGTTTATGCAATTATCATACAATGCCAGGAGACATGACAGAATAATGACATAATTAGTGGGAAGGTTTCCAAATGCATCAGATACGTTTTGGTCATTTATACAATTATTTTCCAAACAATGGACATGTCGACGCAATTAATTTTATTGCAGGATAAATCTGTAAAACCAAACCCTGCGGAAACGTAGAGCTGCTGAGATAATGATAAAATGTCCTTTATCCGTTTAAAAATAAAACAATATAAAATATAAAAGTATTCTCAGAAAATATTTACAAATGGCAGGTGTAAATCTCAAGGTAAAGCTGCTCAAACATAAAATTCAAAATATCTACCACCACGAAATTATTCAAATGAAAGTTCAACTGTCATTCTTCTAAGCTATGAATACCAAAGGGGGAAATGATCAAATTATTGTGCAACGAATTCTCCATACATATCAAATTTTTTCTTGTTAATAATAATAATAATAATAATAATAATAATAATAATAATAATAATAAATACTAATACTAATATTAATAATGAATTGCTGCCATATATGGTCTGGAGCCCCATCTAATTGTCTCAAGGTCCTTGATAAAATCCAAAGACGGATATGCAATGTAATTGGCCCTGATCTGGCATCTCCTCTGCAGTCACTCTCTCACAGACGTGCCGTCGCCTCCCTCTGTCTTTTTTACAAATACTTTCACGGTAACTGCTCCGATGAGCTGCTTTCGCTGGTTCCCAGACTTTATGAATTTAAGCGTTCTACTAGGCTGGCCTCTCGCTCTCACCTTTCCACTGTCGAAAACTGTTAAATGTAGCCGTCTCTTTTACTATAATAGCTTCATGTCTCGCACTTCTCGCCTGTGGAACTCCCTCCCCATCTCTTGTTTTCCTGATAGCTATAATCTCTATTCAAATATAACTATTATAACGTCAATCGACGTCTCCAGATGCTCTGATCTATCCCCTATCCTTCTCTTCATCCTTTCCTCTATCACTCCTATTTGGTCTCACTCCCACTCTGAAACCCTTTGCGTGCCAGTGGCTTCCCGCCTTGCTTGGGGTTGAATGCTTAAAAAAAAATTAATAATAACGTCTTTTTGGGAATAAGGCAGGGAATAGAGGCGTTTTGGATTGTTAGAATTCAAAATTCATTCCTCTTTTCAAGAAAGATATTTATTCGCATTCGTATATACTAATTATTGAAAGAGCTCCTTTTGGTATTGAAGCCGGTATGACTCTCGAGGTTACATTCATTGTCATTAGACTTAAGCAACCTCTCATATTGTGTTTGATTGTTAGTACACGAATATCATTACTGGTAAACAAAAATACTAGTAGCGACAAACAATGGGGCCCGAATACCAACTTCATAGATCATGAGCTGTAGTTTTTCTCTTGATAACCAACAAGAAGGTCCAGATTATTTTCCTCCTTCTTTTGGTTTCAATTTTAACGTTCGCTTGTCTGACTATTTGAGAAAACTTGCTGTCAATTTATCTACAACTAACGAAGTGTAATCTTGGTGAAAACATGCAAATAGATAAGATTTGTTACGGTAACAATTGTCATCGTATAATCA